GATTTGAGCGCTGTGGATCGTCGAATCAAGGAATTGCAGCTGCTTGTTTGCGTTTGTATGCAATTGCCCCATTGATGTGTATTTGATTTGTCGTTCTCAAAACTGCTCATTGCTTCGTGAACTTTCCTGGCCTTGAGGCTCAAGATTGCTTCGCGGTCTACACGTGCTCCTTGCCCACCGCCAAGCAATGATCAGGCCCCTCCATGATTAGTTATCTAATTTTGTGGCAGCCTCATTCTAGTTTGCAATGGCGTGGCCAGAGGCCAACAAATTTTCTGCTGTCATCGAGCTCGAGGCCACTGACTTCAATCTTCCAGTTTGTAGAACCGAAACATTTACCAAATTATACATCAACTGTGTCAGGACGGCATGGATCGTCCAGGTGATGGTCCCTTGGGTACCTCGACTGGGGGTCTGACCGGCCACAGGATGGGAGTGAAGCTGAGCAGGAGGAGAAGGAGGAGGAGGAGGAGGCTGGTCTTGTGAAGCGTTCTGAGCAAGATGCAATGAAGCCTAAGAATGAGAAAGCTAAGGGAAAGGGAAGAGGTAGGGGAAGGGGAAAAGGGAAGGGAAAGGGAAGAGGTAGGGGAAGGGGAGAAGGTAAGGGGAAGGGAAAGGGCAAGAAGAACAAACAGCCAAACAAGCCCAAAGCCAAAGCACAGCCAAAGCCTAGGGCTAGGAAGGCTAGGAACGGAAAGGACTTGCCAGAAGGTGAGGAGGAGACAGAGCCAAAGGGAAAGGGAGAAGAAGGGGGAGACACTGGGACAGATGCAGCAAAGGCTCCGCGCCGCACGCGAAGGAGCAAACAGGGTCCGTCCAACGCATGTGAGAGTCAGGCGCCAGCCGGAAGCTCGAAAGGAAAAGCCCAGCCAGATGCACAGCAGGAAGCAAGCGCAGCCAAGCGTCGTCGCTTGCGAGGTCAGAGCTTCTCTGCCAGTGACGCAGTGGTCACCCCGGCCAGGAAGGACCCTGTTGAAGGCGAAGGTCCGACGCCGCCAGTGAAGGTACCGAAACCGAGGCAAAAGACTGTTGCGAAGCAGTTTACTTTCAGCACAGTTGTTCCTTACCAGACCCGTCCTGCTGTCGGCTTGAAAGTTAACAAGAAGGATGAGTCGGGAGAGACTGTGGTCAGCCAGGCCAGGCAAACAAAGCGTATGAGTTCTGTGTTCTGTTTGTTTCTTGCTTCATTCTTGTGCACAGTGACCACAAGAAGACCAATAGGTGTATTATTGTGGCATCAAAGGGGCCACGCTTGATGATCACTTGCTTTTGATCTATGACATCGCCCTTTGTCCCAACTTAAAGTCTGTGTGTTAGTGACCTCGCCTGTGCCATGAGTTAGTCAAACAACACTAAAATGGGCAGAGTGTCTAAGGCTGCCATGGTGGACCACTTCAAGGGAGTCTGGGATGCGCCGGAAATTGCGCAGAAATTTGCACAGTTGAAGTCGGCTCTCAAGAACCGCACTGGCTAAGTCGTGCGCCATGAATGATCCCCTACTCAGGGAGTAGATTTGGTGTCTCGTAGGTGTGAGAGGTCAATGCTGAAACGCACTGGCTTTTTGGGGCCCTGCTGAGGAAGGATTTGGGTGATTTTGCGTCATTCAAACAACCGGAATGTGGCTTTCCTCGTCTTGCAGGATGTAGAGACCAATGGGGCATGACCCCCATTGCTGCTCAATCCATTTGCAACCGTTAGGCATTGTCGGGAGCAAGCTGTGAAAAAAGGCTACTTGCAATCTGCTCTTCGCCAGTCTATTCTTTACAAGCTTTGTGTGTGAGTTGTGAATCCAGTCAATCCAAAGCTGAAATTTGTGAACGCCTTATGACATAACATACTTTGAGTAGTTTATTTGCTCCAAGTATGTTATGTCATCTTTGAAGTTGCATGTGACTTCGACCGAGGCTGCCCAATCCTGGTTTGCCCGCTATGGGCTTGTGAAGGATGACCGAACCCCTGACTTGCTTAACTCTTTGCTTCCCTGAAGCCTGAGAATTGGGTTTGTTTGAGTGCCATACATCATATATAGTCTTGGCTCAGGGTAAAGGGTAGTCTCTTCACTGTGTTCTTCAGTCATGGTATTGGAGAAGGACTTTGAAAAGGTCGTCAGGAACATGTTTGCCATGCGGTGCCCGAAGGCACTGGTTAAGTTATCTGTCTAGCGCTCCCATGTTTTTTCTGTAGCTAGAGTTGCATTTGGTTTTCCAGCTGCAGCGAAGCCCTTGCAGGTGCTCATTGCGATCGTACTCCTGATTTCTTGGCTGGATATCTTTACCTACCAGGAGAAGTGGGATGTAATAGACATGTTTGCTGGACAGGCTAGGATTGCCAAAGTGGCAAGGGCCAAAGGCTTACAAGCAGCTGCCCTTGACTTTTCCTATGGCAATGAGTTCGATGTAAACTCCTCTGCTGGTTTCGTGTGTCTTAAGTTGCAACTCCCAGCATTTTCTTGCCTAAACACCTATCAAGCCTTAGGAGTCTATACGACACTATCCTGTAAACCCTCGGTGTCATGTCAAAGCCTTGTTCATTCCAACGGTTCAACCCCTGGTTTGACCTGCAAACAGCTGAGGTTGTTGCTGAAAGCTGTACTGGATGGCGCCTATGGATCAGTCTTTTCCTCGTATGGGGTGTGTTGCAGCACATATGTTTGCAGCAGCAGGGGGAGCACGAAAAGATCCATACTCACACCGATGGGGTGCCTTGAGTACCCCTCAGTCAAAGCAGCAAACCTCTTAACATCGAGGACCGTATTTAATGTTGAAAAAACAGTGGGTACACTAGACTAAGCACTAGCCTTCGAAACGTTGCAAAACTTTGTAGGACCGTGTTAGCTCTTATGGTCACCATGGCAATGATGGGTGTCTTCTTGGTAGAACAACCTAGCAGCAGCCTGTTGATGATGCACGACCGCTTCGTCTTTTTTCAAGACTGGATGGAAGAGAACTGCTTGCGAGTGTTTGGATTGAAGAGTAGTTGATGTGTCTGATGTGTTTTCTGTGTTTTCTGTTTTTCCTCCTAGTGACCTAGTGCATCAATGGCCAAACATGGCCAAACTAAGTTTTGGCGGCAATCTTTCTGGATGCGTGCCCATGGACATCCTACGGCCAAAAGGACCCTGGTGTGGAGCAATTCCACGTTGATCACTCGGCTACACTTGGGCAAGATGGCCAAGAAACTTTTGGCCTCTACTGTCCAAGTGGTTGACCGTTACAGGAATAAAGATGGCAAACTTCGTTGGAAAGGTAATTCCAAGCTCAAATCCACACAGTAGCTTGTTTGGATAACAGCTGGAGCGGCTGAACATGTTGAGCTTACATATTGGGTCGTCAAATGTCGTCAACATTTGCAATTGATAGGGGTGATAGCTTCTGTTATCCCATATTTTGTTTAAGCTCAACATTTGAGCTGCTCCAGCGAAGTTCCTGTGTGAGAGTCCCTTTAGCAAACTTGGCTTTGGGGGGCCCTTAAGACGCCAATCTAGCCCTAGGAAGCGGATGATATGAGACCTGTATACTTTCTGGCTCCCATCCCAAACAAAAGGCATGCCCCACCAACTTGTCCACACATGGTCCTCTGGCACCAGAAGATGCGCTTGGATGACCTGAGCCACGGCCCCCAAAATGGAGCCCCCAATGTGATAGAGTGTTTTGTGAGCTTCCCCCTTTTCCATGGTGTGCAAAGATTGTACTTGGGGGACCCATGTTAGCCGAGGCTTTACCCTTGGAAGTATGCCTATCGCTGCATCACCATCGCCGAGGATGCACGCAATGAGTGCAGGGACCCCATCCGTGAAGAAACCTGTGAACAAAAGCAATCCTCGCTTTTGAAGCTATTTCTTGATTACCCTTGGGGTGATTGTTGGCAAGATGCCGACACCCGAGCTATCATGCAATATCTGCGGGGTTCTAAGAAACTCCAGATGCCCCGTGAGTGGCGTGTAGCTTTCCCGAGCTACTTTTAGCATCATTTTGCCTAGCTCTCCCATGCTGCCTTGACGGCCTGCCTGGATGGCCGGGCGTCCGTCCTTTTTCTGGAAGGTTGTAGCCTTTTTTGATTGGGGGCCTTTGGAAAAACTTTTTTACCCGTCCAAAACGCGGTTTTCCCCGTCCTAAAAGCGGTTTTCCCCGGGCCGTCCGGACCCGTCCGGGACAGTGTAGCCTTTTTTGCTTTTCGTGTACTTTTTTGACCGTCCGGGCGTCCGGCCGTCCGGGCGTCCGGGCATTTGGAGGGGGGGGGCTTCAGGGTTCAGCTTCTTTCCCCTATGTGTGGCCAGGTGCCAACAGCATTCAACCATGAGTGCACTCACAAAGAAGTCAACTTGTCATGGTGAATGGAATGGGTTGTTGAGGCCTGGCATGGGTGATGGTTTTCTGCAACAGCATTGGGCCACCAGTCTCTTGAGACTCGAGACTATCAATGATTCAGAATACCTGACATGTCATTTATATATTGTAAACTGGTGACTTGCATTTGCAGGGTAGTGCTCATTGGCACTACCGTAATTAATGAGAATGTGCTCTCGTCACTCCTGTTTCTATGCCAAGCAAGTCCCCTCAAGCTCTTGCCATACGATCGCCCATGTGATGCGGAGTGGTGGGAGGCCTGCATGCCAATCAACCTACAGAAATACAATGTGCAAAACCCGTTCAGCTTCATACCAACCAGGAGAGGTCAAAAGGAATCACAGGCTATAGCTTAGCAACTAATTGTTATGGAGGGACCAAACTTTGGTAGTGAATTTTGACCTCTTTGGGGATGTGTATTCCATGAGCGCTTATTCTCTGTGACCGTGTTATCAAACAAATTTTACCGATGTTGATTACCAGAACTGATTGGAGATCTCTTCTCTTGGGGTTTGACTTGTGGGTCTCATTTGCTCACCCTCAAAGTGATTGGATGCAGTTTGCATTTGCCATGTCCAGGTAATCCTTCTATAGTAGGTGTCTTTTAAGTGCTCAAGTTGAACTGTGATTCGATATCCCGGTTTCAGGTCCCACATGTCGCAAGCCGCAGAGACTTCGCCAGTTCCGTCTATCGGGTACCGACCTCTGGAATCCAAGACCATCAGCTCCCACACCTTAGACAACGGGGAGCAGGCTCTGGCCATGCAGCAAGTAAAGGTTGAGGACATGGAGGAACTCCAGCAAATGGAGGAAGAACTGAAGGACCCCTACCATGATGTTCAATTGCTTTGGACGCCATTTTCGAGGGATTGGTCAAATCATGGAACTAAGTAGGGACTCCTGTAAGGCAACAGCTTTTCTCTTCATGTTCTAGGGGCCGAGGCTTACAGTGTACCAGTCTGCTTTACATACTGCGAGGCCACAATCAAATGAAACCATGGATACGAAACCTCACTGAATGAGACTTCGGGGTTTCAAACACTTGAGTGACTTGTTTGATCGTTTTTTATGGGGGGCTTTCAAGATGGTCTAGTGAAACTCAGTCATTCCTTCTGAAGCCCTGTTATAATTCAATAATAATGCTCTAGGGTCCCATAGGAGGTATAGCTTTGTGTCTTTGCCCCTTGTGCCCTTGGAGGAGCTCGAACGGCAACGCGAGGAGTTGAAAGCATGCCAATATCGGGCTGAGAAAGCTCGAGCGGAGTTGGTATTTCCTTCGACCACCACCCCAGACAAAACGCAGAAGAAGGTTCGCCTCAACACCCCAGAAGAGAAGGGATATGTTCCTTCGCCCTTGGTGCCAAAGGCTTTGCTGCAGGAGAGAGGTTTGTCTTTTCTGGCCATGTTTCCATTTCCCCCAGGTTGCATGTTTTCCCGAAACCGGTGCCACGGTCAGGACCCATATGAGGAATATTCTGCAGGGGATGGTCACCTAGGGAGCATGGGTGAGTGCCCTGATGAAGCCCAACAACTCCGTGAAGAAGTTCACCAACTGTATGATGTGAAACACAACCTTCACAGTGAGATTGACATGTTGCAACAGCAGTTGGCATCGTTGAAGATCCACGTTGAGAAGACCAAGACTGCCCGAGAGCCTCCTGCCGATCCCGCCCCAGTTCTCCCTTCTGAGTCTCATTCTGCGGAGGTCAACGATGATGCTGTCCGGAAGAGGCTGGCGCGCCTGTGTGCCAAACGTTCTGATGGGCCTTTTGGGTTGCATTCGGCATGCAAACTGACCGGTGCATTGCATGATACCTGATGGTAATTGTTGTCAGGTGTTTTTTTGGGGGGTTGAGATCTGCACTGTATGCTTTCCGTCTGGGGCTCATATTGAGGTCGTTGATTGTACCACAGGAAGTCCATGACGATTGGGTCAAAGGTGGAGCTGCCCGTGACAAAATCAAAGAGTTTTTGCGAAGTGTGGCCATGACAAGGCTTTGGGTGTGAGGGTTGAGAGATGAGAGACGCATGTGCGATTGATTTTCATGACTTTTCCAACCAACTCCGAGACCAACTCCCCCAGGATATGTTTCTGAAGAACATCCGCCTTGAGCTGGAGCAGCAGGAACAGGTTAAGGTCCGTGTCAAGGCTCAATGGGCCAGTGAACAAAAAATGAAGGATGTCCTCAAACTTTCGGAGCCACTGGGATGCTTTTCAGGGATGAAACTGACACCACCCCAACTTCTGCTGCTAATTTTCTTTTATTAGGTCAGGAACTCCTGGGGGATCAATTTGCATTGCCCAGGCCAAGAATCAAGGCTATCAAGGAGTACTGTGAGAAGCTGCCGGGTCATACGAAGTGTCTCGATTCTATGCTAGGTATTGCTGGGCCATAAGCTTTTCAACACCTCATTTCTTCCTGAGATTTCCTGAGGTATGACAAATATGAGTCCAAAACCCTTTATTGGTACGAGGAGGATGCTGAGACCGAATTTGAGAAGACCAAGACCCGGCGGAGAACGGAGGGAATGGAATACGAAGTAGAAGCTCACGGGGCCGATGCTCTGACATCTTTGGTAGATCCTTTGCAGTTCGATATGAAGGAAGCCCGAGATATCAACATGACTGGTACCTATCCTCAATTTTATGTTTCAGTTTATAGGGTGAAGCGGTATCCAAGGATTTTTTTGAGTCACTCTGAGGAAGCTTCCGTGCGACATGCACTGTGCCTGCGTTGAGGTGCTTCGGCGGATGCTTCCGCTGGGCCACCTCAGAAAGGTTCGCCAGCGCCATTCCCGCAGCTCCAGAAAAACGAGAAACCGTCGTCGGTTGTCTTGAAATACGTCGATGGCCTGACCAAACGGATTGGTAAGGTGAATGATTCTTGTCAAACATTAAACAAGAGTGAAGATCAAGATATTGCAAATCCATGCAAATCCTATTTATTGAAAGTGTCCTTTCTCAGGAGCTGAAGACCAAATATTCAGATATTCCCGATGGCGAAAAGAAGCCAGCCCACACTGCGCTTCTAGCCAGCACCGACTGAAATGCCACATAATTAAAAACACTATGACCCCCAAATTGGTGACCAAGTTTGTACCATCTATCCAAGGTTTATCACCAAGCTCTCCAACATCGTGGACGAGATGGAGAAAGTCCAATCACAGATCAACCATTTGTACTCGGAGGGGGCTGTAGAAGGTTACTCGGAAGTGCAACTTGCCAGCGTATTATATAGGTTGAAAGAATTTAAATCCCACCATGTGCCAACGCTCTTTACCGAAGTTAGGCAGGAGGCTGCTTTGCTGGCCCATTACAAGACTGCTACCAAGTGGTCGTTTGGATGCATTATGCGTGCGTGAATGGTGTTTTTCTTTGCACAGGTTTGCAGTGCATGACTTGCCCACAAGTCAACTTCCAAACGCTGTATGTGCACATTCTTCTGAGGTCGCAGGATTCTCTGACCATGGAAGCCCGTGCCAAGAACATCCCGCTCCCCAAGCCCAAGGCTGCTACCAAAGCAGCCCCTAAGGCAGGGGCCAAGGCATCTGTCAAGGCGAAGCCTAAGCCCAAATCCGCAGCAGCTGCGGAAAAGCCGACGCGTGGGCGAAAGTAGGTAGGTTTTCAGCGAAGCTGAGAGTTTTGCTAGTACCCCTTCCTTCACCGGCAGGTATATAAGATATACAGTATCTTGTAAGATGCAACTCTGTGTCAGGTCAACAATGTTTTTTGGATGTAAGATATACTATGTTGCCATCGAGGGCGTGGGTACCATTTTGGAGATGATGTTTGCTAGCAGACCCAGCTGTCAGAAATCCATGGCAAGGGTTTGACTGGGAGGTGTGTTCCCTGTGCTTTTGTTTTTTTCAATGATGCCTATATATTTGGGGAATCCATAGGGGGCACATCTTCTCAGAACGCAATGCCTGGGCTAGACCTGCAGCGCAAGAAATGAAAAAGCACTTTGATTGGACATGGATGTTTTTTGGCGCAACTGATGTCAAATTAATCTGGCCAGGTGCTGTAAATGAAAGGCATCAAATTTAAACATGCCAGGTAAAAAGAAGAAAGGCTTCATGCTCAGAAATTTGGCCCTCTCTCTCGCAGATGGGGCCATCGTCTCAGCTGTCTGCAAAACTGTGTGTCACATAAAGTTGACCAGGTGCCCTGGTTACTCTCAGAAACCAACCCCTGCCAACTGCCAAACCTAGGTGCCAGCCAGGAGACTGAAGAATTTTGCAAAGTCAGCCATGGATGAGTGCGAAGACAACCTTGCGACACAAGCTTTGCGTCGAGCTGCAAACAACAAGAACCCGAACAATGCAGAGCGGGATCTGCATGTGTTGTTTCGGAATTGCAACCTCACATTGCCCATCAAGACAAAGGTGCTCAAACTGGGGTTGCTCCAAGTTTCGTGCCTACGTTTGACGTCTTGGGCCCAGTACCTCTTGGACCACTTTTCCCACCTTCTCTTGGGGGGCTTCAACAAAGATGATCCTTTAAGCTGTGTTTTGCTGAAGACATTCTGGAAGAACTACAAGGCAAACAACAGCGACCACTTGGTTTACGGGAAACCTGAGGTGGCTTTGATGGTCCAAGTCGGCTTTGGTTTCTACAATTGTTTTAGTTTTCCTTACCTCGGTCAATAAGCGTTGTGAAGCGCAAGCAAATTCATCCCTGTGTCTTCAACCAAGGACTCCCTTGCCTATACCATACCTTTCTATGTGCACATGGACGAGGGGCGAGGTTTGAGGAAGACGGCAGTCCAAATCATCTCTGCCCAGGCTGTCTTTGGCCTCGAAACCTCAGAGCGTTTTCAACTGGCTTTCAGGAATGGTCATGGGCGAGAGACTTCGGACATTGAGGACTACATGGCGGAGTCCCAAGACCACAACAGCAAGGGGAGTACGTACAAGTCCCGCTTTCTTCACAGCTGTGTTCCAAAGAAGTGGTACAGTGGAAAGCACCAAAACATGTACTCAAAACTTTTGGAGGATGTGGCTGCAGAGAGCAAAGCCCTTTTTGAAAAGGGAATTTATTGCAGTGGTCAACAATACTTTCTGGTTTGCTTGGGGTTGAAGGCTGATGCGCCTGCTTTAGCGAAAGCTGGCTCTCTGAACCGATCGTTCTTAAACCTTGGGTTTCAAATCCCATGCTGTTGGCAGTGCATGGCTGGTGCAGCGGACATCCCATGGGAGGATGTGAGGAAGCGCCCGGTTTGGGAGCCTACCATACATTTGCAGGAACCATGGGGCCAAAACACTGGAAGCCCTTTGCTTGCAATACCAGGTAGGCTCACATGCCGTGAAGCCATTTACCATCAAGACCCCTTTCACACATACAAGCAATCTATAGGCGGCCACTTCATTGCTTCCTCTATCATTGCACTTATGGAGATGGATGCATGGCCTGGAGACCTCAACTCCATGGACATCCTCTTTGATCGTGCATATCAGGACTTCAACTTTTTTGTGAAGCATGAGTTTCCTGGGCGCCAAGTGGCGCACATCAAGAAGTTCACTCGGGCAATGTTCCATTTCCCTCGTGATCAAACTTTTCCATACGCACGTTGGAAAGGTGCGGATATAATGTTGGCACATCGCTGGCTGTGCCAAGTCCTTGTGGTGGGTGCTGTGCTGGATGTGAATCAGGGGCGCGTTGGTCCTGGACTTTTATGGTCTCAGCGCAGTGCTTCAGAGCTGGCTTTCTTTGAGGAAATCCACAGAGGTGCCACTACTGCCCTAGAGTTTTGGCAAATCCTTCGGAAGAATGGCATTTGGCTACGTCCTGAAAGCGCAAAGCGCATGGCAGAGGTGTGTTACCAGTTCTGTCAAAGCTACACCAAGCTTGCACGGATGAGCATCCAAGCGAACCGCTGCCGCTTTCAAATGCAGCCTTCGTTACACTACTATGCGCACTACTACGTGCGCTTGTGGCGTGAAGTTGAGACCGGGTGCAAGTGGGTAGCTTCGCCTGCCTTGGAGAATTGCGAGGCGGATGAAGATTTCATAGGAAGAGTTGCACGTGTTAGCCGGCGTGTTCACAACAATTCTGTTCCATCCCGGACAGTGGAACGATCACTGATCAAATACTTTTTTGTCCTCAATGAGGTCGACAGCTGAGCTGTCGATAGCGAAGCTGCTCCAAGTGAATGAGCAATCATAAATCACAAGAACTCTGACCTGATGTAGGGTCCTACTTACTTACCACAACTAATGCAAATCAAATAACTTGGTAGGCAACCAACACTAGCTATCCTATACTCTCTATATTCATGGAATCTCACAGAAATTATTTGGAGCATTTGGCTAGTGTGTGTGCTGAGGAACCGACGCAAGTGAAGGCTCACAACAGCTGAGCGGGTTTGAGCCAAAAGGGCATTCACGGCCTTGTACTTCTTTTGATGAGCTTGTACCTTTTCTTCTTTTCTGTCCCCCCAAAAATGGGTACGACAGGCATGTCCCCAAAAAAAAGGATACACGGTGACTACAGGTACATACAGTAGTTTAAAATAAATATATATATATATGGCCTAAACCGTTTGTCACAAGTGTCTCTCTCTGTCTCTCTCTCTCGTCGTGCTGCTGTGGGATCAAAGCCAGGCAACCCTAGGCAATCATGCTCACTTCACCACCGCCCGCCTTGAAGATCGGGAGTTTGTGCGAGACGTCTTCCTGTATGTTGAAACTCATCCGGTGCGATGAGAGATGGCAAAACCCGCAATTAAGACCTCGATTTGGTACGTGACACCCCGAAATTCTTTGACGACATTCGGGTGCTTGCGCCACCACAGGGGCGCGTTTTTTCGCCAACAGCCAAGGCGGGTTGAGAAATGAGGATACGATCCTGGAGATCAACGGTGCCTGCACTGCTGGTCAGCACCGTGCCTTGGTTGCAGTTTTTTTCCAACCGAATGGGGGCCAGTGAACTGGCCGTGATGTCTTGCAATACCCTGGATCTTCCAACTGTGCACATGTTCAGCCTTTTCATCCACAAAACCAGCCAAAAGGCACATGTTTTGAACACATGTTGCATAGTTGGAAGATCCAGGTATTGTATGAACAACATGGACTATGACTACGAGCGAGGATGGGTGAGGTTAATGTTTGGGTTTCGGTGTTGATCAAAAACCACATGTAAACGGCTCGAGCTACAGAAATCAATTTTGTTCGCCCTGCCCTGACCCTCATAGATCGCAGAAACTCGAAGGCGAGAGACAAAATTTTGGTGAGTGTTGGGTTTCAAATTGGAGGTTGGTACCCATTACAAAAATTTCTTGAGAACCACTTTGAAGCATTGTGCACCAAAAAGTGGGCCATGAAGCAGAATAGCAGAATAGCGTACGATCACCAGGACCATTCAGGAACCTATTCTGTTTGTTCTGTTAGGATTGATGCGCGAACTATTTAGATTAAGGCCTAAGAGGGTCGTGCACCATCCATTCTGATCACCAGGGTCCATGTCATGGAGTTTTTGAGGTGACCAGCTCCTCCCGCTACTCAAGCAGCGGCCCTTGGAATTGAAGCTGCGGCGGCCAGGTGGGGAGTGGATGCATCACTTTTGGTTCAGTTTGGGGAAGGGAACCGGACAAAGCTGCCTCTTAAGCTGCATGAGGTTTGCAGTCCTGCCTTAAGCTGTGGCTGTGTGGCCAATCATGGTACAACATCATTCTGTTCGACACTTGGTCACGCATCACACAAAATCTTCCAGGTAAGAATGACCACCAGTTGGTCAATGTCCCATCGATTTCGGCCCTTTCACAGTCGGTTTGCCGGCCTCATATGTGACCACGTGCTGCACCAGCTGGGAAGTTATCCTTGGGATATATTAGGCCTTGGTCCTTGGTGGTGTAGGAATGGCATTGATTGAATGCAATGCGAATCAGGTTCCAACTTTTCTTCCATCAACTGCATCTCGCTTTCGCTGACTTCTTGGACGGATCCAAAATCGGACCCGATTCCCAGGCCTGGCTGTGGAGACTGCAGAGACCAGCGAGCCTAGCCCGCGGTCCCTCCGACGTGAGGCACACCCATGAGCACACGCACGGCCGCAAGAACGGCGTGGAAGAACCTGCCGCAACAATGGCACGCTGATGGACCCATGGCTTTAGGTTTGAACAATGAAATATGAGATGCATTTGTGTGTTGTCCTTATTTTTAAACTCTTCACCGCGTGCCCTTTTGGATACCTGTCAACCCTTTGTCGTTTTATTTTGAAACTTTGATGGATTAAACCCTCATGGACTGGGAGAGGAGGAACGGTTTTAAGTTTTTGAATTTTTGGCTGGAAAATGTGCAAGTTTGAAGAGTTCCGTAAATCATCCAAAATCTAGCCTGGTGGTGACGGTGCAGGAAGCCATCTACAGTAAGATATAGTATACGAGTAACTTTGGTTGTTGATGCTGCCATGCGGAACATGTTTTCTTGTTGCCCTGGGCCCTGGGCGCGCCACAGTTGCTACAGTGCTACAAGCGTGCAGTGCCCGACCCTTAACAGACAGGTGCATCATCCTGACCTGGCAACCATGGCAGGTCTCCTTTGGAGTCAACCACTCACAGACTGGCTCTTCCTGGCAGTCGTTGGAGGAGAGGGTTGCAGGGGTTTGGCCCGGGAGGATCCGCGAGGTAATGCAGATGAAACTGACTCTTGAATCATTAATCTTTGAAGGTGGCCCCCAAGATATACGACAAGTTGAACAATCATCATGAGCGATCCCCAATTTAAGCAGTATCGGAAATAACTTTGTCCACATTTGCAGAGCAAGAGGCTCCATTGCAAATTGGGAAAGGAACGGGGGTAATTCATGGTAATTCTATTTATATAAGCTGTATGTATTGAGTACTCTTTGTTGTAGTTGTTTTCTTTCGTTTCCCTTTGGTGGGCCCAGGCGTTGGCTTTAACGGCTTTCGGCCTTTGGTTGTGTGCAATCCTTCAACGAAATCTGGGTGGTTTGAGGATTTGTTTTCATTTGCCAGCCGATTCATAGAATCACGGCATGGGGCCAAGGTCATTTGCAGAGAGGTTTTCTTCACTTTGACCTTGGCCTCTGCAGCAAATGCATGCCATTCCCGCTTGCAATGCAAAGTCTGTTGATTTCACACTCTAAAAGACCGGTTGATTTCCTCTACTTTTTACACATACTTCTCCTTGAAAGCAAATTGGGAAAAAACACAGGTTGAACAGGAATGAACGTGCATCGCAGGGCGCACACCTTTTGGAGGTTAGAACAAGGGGTCATCGCAATCGATTCCTATCCAACTCCGTGTTCGCCAACTGTTTATTTTGCCTTTGCCCGCCCCGTGCCTATTAATATTTATTTATATAAGTAGGCGCCTACTCAATTAAGTACGAGACTCTACCAAACTACTAGGGAGGACGTAGGACAGCTCACGCTTTTTCAAGGAAGCTCCCGTCGCCTAGAGCCTTTGCCTCGTTGACTTTCTTGCAGCGCAATCCCCACGAGGCTATCGCCTTCAGCAGGTATGACAGAAATGCCTTTGCGTATTCTGGTGGCTTTCCTGTGATTGTGACGGTTGTGAGGACTCCAGTTGCATGCAAAATATACAACCAGCCAACCACTGAAGCTCCCCGACCAGTCCTTGTGCTTCACGAAGTGTGCCAATGTCAAATTGTTCAAGCCTGTCATCAGTCCATATCCTTTCTAATTATAAGGACCCTTCTTCGATGCCCTTCTTGGAGCAGAGATCAAGGATGCACTCCTTTCTGATTCAGGTGTATCCGCCACTCCCTCGCTCCAGTTGAAGGCCGCAAAGTTATGCGGTGGCTTCACGGTGGCTGTAGACCTCTTTGGAGCCTGGACAAAAGCAGACGTGACGTGATTGCCCACAACTCCTACGGAGCCATTGCTACCAGTACCCTCAGCCGAAGTATCTTGAAGTCCTCCTGTTGAAACCGACACTGATTCACCAGGTGTGCCAAAGTTTCCAAGCCCAGGCCTTCCGATGTCCACACTAGGAGCCTTTCTGACTTCAACATGAATGCCGCTGCCAACCAGCTCTCTTGCGGTGGTCTTCGCTTCGGCGTCCTTGTGTTTTTCATGGCATCGACCTCAGTGCATATTTCTCTTCCAACCGCCAGGTTGCTGACCAAGTATGTTTGCGGCACCTCCACCTCCTGGATCGTGGCCTCCTTTTTCCTGGAGAGTGCTTTCAACATCATATTGACCTCCTTTGTAGTCTCTTGAGCTTGCCCTCAAATGCCTTCCATCGAGGCAGTGTCCACATGGTTTTCACTTACAGCTGGGATAGACCAACAGTTGTTGGGCCCCCTTCATGAGCTCCTGGACCCCGTCCCTCATCATCCTCAGGGATTTCAACTCACTCAACCATTTCCGAGGACTCATCACGATTTCAGATGCACTTCCTGGGTCCTTCTTCAAAATCGGCGAAGTTCACAACCTTGACATTGCTGAAGACTCTCCCAGAAGGAGTTTCCTAGGCTTGCTTTTTGTAGGCTATTTTGTAACCATTGGTTTCCTGGGCGAGCGCGAAGGAGCGGGTGATGCGCGCCCAGACTGCGCTGCAGTTCTCCGACAGGTCGGCGACGTCTGCGACGAGCGCGAGAGTCACAACACTTCCCCCAGTTCCTGGAACTGGTCTTCCAAGACGGAGTCCAGCTTGTTTTGCATGAAACCTGAAGCGTTGATCTTGCAAGTCCAGTGTGATTTCCGTGAACTTTTGCTGGGCAATCTTGTCCTCGCACTCTTCCGCCGAACTCCAGTGATTTTCGATGTCCTTTGTTCCAGACGGTTTGCGCCCATGGGAGCCTCCAGCTGATGATGCAAGGCCCTCGGCCGGTCCGGAAAATGGTGCTTGTACCGGTACCGGTGCCGCCAATCATTTGCCACCCCCACCATATGGAAGCAGCCTTTGAAGATTCAGTCTCATCCTGCGAAGTGGTCCTCGATGGCGTCGAAGCGGTCCTCAATGGCGTGCCTGTTGATTTCTTTAGACTGCCAATCCCGATCTCTCGCAAGGTTACAGTCAACTCAAGAATCAAATCTCGATGGGTAGCCCACTTCCGGAACTTGGACACAAATTCCTTGGCCCGGTCCGTTTTGATGGTGAGATATGGTGAGCATGTCTACTTGAAGTGCCCTGTATCTTGCATACCGGCAACTGCTGTTATGACTGCGGCTTCCTTCTGATTGAGGAGTGGTGCAGCCAATTTGATGTGCGAAGCCGCTTCGGCTGGTTGTCCTGTTGCCGATCCTCGGATTCCAGTCCACGTTCCTCCTGCATGGTCTTGACCTTTCGCATTGGGCCATCCTGCTTTCACGAGAACTTCACTAGGGCGATCACGATGCTCTTCCTGGAACTGCAGCGGGCCGCCATACCCTGCACTGATTGCAGGGCTCACAGTCTCCTCCTTCGAGCCGTCGAGTTCCCGAGGTCCAGGTGAGTGGGTTCGGGATTTGCAGCCCGCAGCTCTTCTGAGCTTCCCTCCTCATCCATCGGCAGCTCCTTTGGAAGATCATCATGCCTCAAGTTCAACAGCGCAAGCTCATCCCTAGCACGCTGGCTCCAAAAGGTTCGCATTCCATGGCGGATTGAGTTCACAGCGTTGGGCTCATAACTCAGAGTACGCCGCGCCCTTTGAGGCTAGAAAATGGGGTCTTCGCAATCGGCATGGTTTATGACGACCGTTTATGCATGTTTATATACTGTAATACACTGTAATCATGTGTAATATTGTGTAATCATGTTTATGCGTATCCAACTCCATGTCCACAAAATGTGAGTGCTACACAGGACTTCCCATGTTCCAGTTCCAGTGCAAAGAAGGAATGCACGTTGAAAAGGAAGTTGAACAGGAACAGTAACATATAAGTATAAGGTGAAGATTCATTTCGAAAGCATTGTAGAGCAATTAAGAAACAAACGCTATGTCAAGTATGTCCACCAAAGCAAGACGACCAAGAAAGCAACACTAATAAAAACCACGGAAACACGGAGAAAAACATACGATATAACATACGATGTAATACCAAACTAAATCAAATTCAAGTCCGCCGCCGAAACAGCATCCCCATCTCCAGGTTCATGCACTCTCACCCACAGTAGCCGTTTGGGGTCCAGCTGGCTGCTTGGTGCTTTTGAAGAACACCTGTAGCTAGTACCTGCATGAGTATTTATTTGTTTGTTACAGTCACGGTGGGTGTTTGTTTGGCTTTGCCTGCAACATCTTGTGACTGATCTTGCACATCTCCAGGACATACCTTGCAAGGAGGAGAGGGTTTGCCAGAAGCGCAGCGAGGAGAATGGCTCCTTGGTGAAACTGCGGGTTTTCTACACAAATACTTTTGGTTTCTGACTGACACGCCTGCTTGGCAAGCTCCCCAGTTTTAGCATGTTTTAGCTCCCCAGGTTTGTGAGTGAATTTGAGAAGGAGGGTGGCAGCATAGCTGCACCGTATTCCGCATTCATGGCAATTGTTGAAAAGGTGGGCAGTTTGCCCCCAACGATTCCACAAGGCCATGGCCAGACTTGCAATCCAAGCCCGCAAATTGCACCAAGCACATCCAAGCACCGTAAGGCCAAGACAGCCGCTTGGGACTCAAGAAGTACGTGGAGCAACAGGACTGATCATAGGACGGCCCACTCCATTGAGCCTGGCAACCGGGCGGCTTGCTACCAGGATCCCTATCATTTTGATCAAGCATTTGACCTCCGTCTAGCTTCATCATGTTTGCATTGATTATTTCTTAATTTGGAGTCATGTATATCATGAGTCAAACCTGCAGCTGGCGTGAGCACCTTAGGCCATCTCAGGCCAACAGGAAAAAGGATACATAAAGAAGGTATGCTGGTAGGTCATGGGTTATCCGAAGCGTTTCTTTGGGCACGCCATCGTGACCGCTTGTTGTGTCGCGTCTGCTGAATCTGCAGGCCCAGCAAGAGACGGTCGTCTCCAAGACAGCAGCTCGGCACAGTCGTGCTGTGGAATTAATTCATCGATTCCGGAACGAAGCGATGCGATTCAAAGGTAACCTCAGTGACCTTTAGCTGCCAACTGCAATTGTTCACCTCATTTGTGGAGACACTGTTTGTGGGAGTGCCAGAGAAGGGCGACACTTGATAGAGTTGCAGCCATGCAAGCATCCAACTCTTGGTCAAAGAAACAGAGATGGCCCAGTCAATGGTCCTTGTGTTGGGTGTCCCCTTAATGACCGGTTGCTCATGTGAGACGATTGGATAAGAGCCAAACAAACTGTTGCTGAAGCTTTCTCAGACCCCCAAAGTCGGGATGTTCTCACTTGTTTCAGCCGCCTTTGAGAGCCGCTTTTCAGCCTGGTGCAGCTCACCATGGTATCCCTGATGAGATCGATCGATCGTGGACGTTCCCACAATGAGGTTCGTACCTTGATTGGTGCCACCAACGCCGAGAGTACGGACGCGCCACTGAGCCCAATGTCCCGGAGGTCGTTCGGGAGGTCGGTTCACTTCAGTAGTTGGCGGTCCAAGGTACAAAAAACGTCCAAGATCCGCTTTATTATACTGTATACCTTATATACAACAATCTCATGAGTATCTCATGACTCTACTGACGCGGTCGGAAAAGTGATATATATATATATATATAATTATATTATACATTGTTCCGCATGCAAGCTGTGCTGCCATTCAATACTAGGCCAAGTTATAGCATCTTATAGCTGGATCTTATGTACCTGGCACATGCTGTGGATCTTCTGGATGCTGGGCTGAGATGACTCTGCTTTGTCTCCATTTGCCTCATGGCAAAGAAACAAGATGCCAGCAAAGAGGTTCGCCAAAAAGAAGCATCAAGCCTTTCGCTGCTGTTTGGGGTCGACGCTGCTGGTCTTGTTTCTTCACCGGCCACACCTGCTGCTACTTGGGAATCAGAACGGAACGTCGCCGAACGTCGCGAGCGACTGAGGTTTATCAAGCTTCGGCGCCTTGCGGCGGACTTCGCGATTTGGTGGGACAGTTTGGAGGAACCTCCACGCCATGGCGCCTCGGACGGCACACGGGTCAGGTATATGGAAAGTGGAAAGGTGACTTGCTTGTGGAAATGGGGCTTGTGACATCTTGTGACCTCAGATTTCAGACTTGAAACCCGCGCTTTTTTCCGTGGCCAGAGTATCAAGATGTGGCAAGTGGGCCACAAGTGGGGACAAAGGTCGTTCTTCCGGGCCCCTCGCTTCACCAAAACCCTTCCCACTCAACACTTGTACTGCAAGGAACCCTCGACGTATAGGTCCACCACCCGAGGTCGCATTTACGACGTGGTGGAATCGAGATGGTTCCGATTTCTTTCTGCCTTTGCCACTGAGCTGGAAGTGGCTTGCGAGGTGGAGCGCGTGTGTGGTGCGAAAACGAACCAGACATAACGAAACATTATTGACCCACATTCAAAGCTGGTCAGTGTTGTTTGATTAATTTATATAGATGAGCTGCAGGTCATAATTGGGTGTCACCCACCACTGACGACCAAAAAGCCGGCTTTGCATGAAGGACATCAAGCTTCCCAGCGTTGTTCGGGTCTAATGAATCCACCCTGGCATGCACATGACATGTGGACACAGCACAGGCAGCGCAATCGCTGTCTACGGCACACAGTTTGTTTTTTGTTGTTGTGCAACGGCTGGGAATGCAAGGTGTTTGGTGCCAGTTGCTTTGGCGACACCCCGCTTGTTAGCTATTGTGCTAGCTACTAGTAGTGCCACCAAACAGGGATGATTAACATTGTGCTTAATTAATAAGCATGTTTGGTCCCACATCGTCCCACCAAAATGCAACATTGCAAAGGAACCGTCACACTATATTAGGTTGTGTTTGCGTTTGGTCTTCCACCCCCCCCAAGAAACTACAACAAATGCTGTTGGAAAGTCCGCCCTTCACATTGGCTAATATAATGCAACACAAATATAGTTGTAGAATCTGGTGCAGGTGTTTGTTCACTCCACGTTTGTTAATGTTTGTTGTTCTGCCTTGTGCTGAGATCATCACAGTGAATGCTGCAGTGGTCACATGGTTGACAGACTGGAGTTTGAGCAACGATGGCAAGAGCTGCTCGAAGACAATCTCTTTTTTTGACGGATGCATGGATCCGGATGCGAGGATGCTCGCATGTGGGATCTTGCTTTGCATGAGGCTTGTAGCAATTGCATCTAGCAGCAGAGAGGCCCCGCAGAGGGCCTGTGGGACACCCCCAAGAATTGTCCAATGCTATGTGGAATTGCTGCGGCAAGCATGGTGGCCGAAGCATCAAAAACTAGAGCATCCCCAATACCTGGATCCTACTTTGGGATGGAAAACGAGCCAGACAGAAGATCGTGGTATGTTTCTTCTTTGGGGTTGCTTCGCGGGGCCTGCTGGGCTGGTGGATGGTTGGATTTGGGGCCGCCTCCCGGCACAATCAGAAGCCAAAAGCCATCAAACAAACACGTGGGGCGCTGCTCAGATAATCCGCCTGGCTTCGAGTTTGTGGACTTGGCCTTCCTTTTCTTCTACTTTGTGGAAGTGGTACTGCGGATCACCGTGAGCAAAGGCGCCCAGCCCGGCAAAACCGGGTGTTTCCACACGTGGAAACTGTGGAGGGTCCACAGGAGATCGCTGTTTTGACATTCCTCTAGCTGGGTGAGTGCAAACTGGACAGGACATATTTGTTCATGTCCAGTTTGATGGTCCTTCAGATACTTTCTTTTCAACCTTTACTTGTGATTGAACACACTGACTCATGTTGTTCTTGCGTGAGTTGAAACCACCAACCAACTTTTCAGACCTTGTGACCTCCGCCAATTCCACAATCCAGAGCTCTTTGGGAGAGTTGAACGCGGATGCATGTTACACTCTACAGTAACTCACTAACATGGAAGATCATGGAAGTGGATGGAATGGCCCCGTAGAAGACTACTGTCCTTTGAGAACGGGCCGACGGGGTTTTCCACTGTCGGAGTGTAGAGATCATTCAATCAATCCACATTTTGCCCCTGCGCGCGTGGGTGCATTCAATGCTTGATGTTTGGCAAGGCTGGAGCTTGGCCATCTTGAATCACCCGCGTTGTAACGCTAGCAAGCAGCTAGCGGCTAGCGTGGCGTAAGTGCAAGACAATGTAGGGCGCAAGGGCCTTTCATGCAGGGCCCGTTGAAAGTGGGGTCCCACCACCGGTGCCAAGTGAGTGAGGCTTCTTCTTCGTGAATGACAATGCCGCCTGGAACATTTTCGTCCCTTGCCGTGCTGAGCGCGCGGAGTTCTATTTTGCAGCAACGTGTGAGTTCAGACCTTGCAACGAAATCGTCATGTTCATGTTGCCAGTGCATCAATTGGTGCGTATATATCACAATTGCATACAATTGCTAATTGCATGTTCAACCCTTTTCGTGCGTTTGACTCATAGATCCCACAAAAGTCCTACTGTAATTTTAACCTCAGATGTCTCAGTCCATTGTGGTCTCTCAGGATTTGAGCTTGGTGGTCTTCTCTACCTTAGATACTTGGACCTGCTCAGCAATGTGTGTTCGTTGTTGGGAAGTCCTTTAAGGATCAGGGAAGTCAGTACTCTTCTCTTAAAGTGACCATTCTAGGGCATGCTTGATGAGTACGGGATCCCGTGGTTACCATTGTCCCTCGTTCTCATTGTCAAAGAAGCTCCCCTTTGGATTCCTTCCTTCGGTCATCCTCCAAGCTTCTTGCGACGCACGACCTATATTGTGACCGATAATTCAAGTCACCCAGCTGGGCACGGTGCGATGATCATGCCCCTGTGTTTCCTTCGGATTGCGAAGCGGCGCGGCAAGGATTGCATCTTCAATTGGCCAGCCGATGGGGCGGAAACGCCACCCAACAACTTGGGCTACATGAGCCTCGGACAGACTGGACGGTGACGACGGTGAGGACGGCCGACTGTTCGTTGGAAAAAGGGTTCTCGTGGTGACACCCTTGGCCCATCCATGCGTGCAGTCCTCAGTAAATCATTACAAAGGCAGAAGAACATTGTAGAAGTTTGGTAGGGGTCTGGCTTTTGCTTTGAGGAGACGGAATTCAAGTTTTGCACCAGGCGCATTCTGTTCTTCCCACTCAGTGATGCTATGTAAGTATGTATGTGTTTCCTCAAGGCCCTAGCGTTTTGTGACCATGCCGCCTTGTTCTTTTTGGAAGATCACGGTTCAGAACGAAACACGTTCAGAACCCTTGGAGGCCCACATGGAGGCCCGAGTTGTGAGGCAAATCCTTTTTCTCTCCAAATGGGTGTCATGAATCCTCCGCACACTCCCACGTGCTTTGACTGCCTGCATGTGCTGCTTAGGCGAGTATTTCGCATGCGCGGTGCTCAGGGTCAGCAAGTAATGGACGAGGCTTGCAGTATTTTGCAGTTGTGCTGAAGATCAACTACATAACTACATAATCATGGGACCCGGGCTTGACTCACCATCTGTTCTTTTGGACAGGCTGACCTGAAAAAAAAAAAACTGTGACAATGAAAACCTCAACCTTCTTGACCACCCAAAGGTGCATGTTCTCACCATTCACCTGGAACTCGGAACCGTCCAAAATATGTTTGCACATCCTGTGTTGATTTCCTTTTTGTGTGTCGTATGAATGTCAATATATTTTTCAACCTCCTGCCATCACCAAAAATCAAACAGATCACTTTTTGATGCATAGAATTTCAATCCTTGTTTGGGGAAGATTACAAACACCCCAAACCGTTATCAAGTCAAATTGTTGACTTTCGAGGGTGCTTGTCAATTCATGTAGTAATTCAGGCTTATTTCGGGTCTCGATACCATGTTGCAAAAGAGACGTCCCCTGGAACGAGGGCGCGACGATTTGCACCGGCCTGGAACGGCTTGCCATTGTGATCTCACCACTCAGCTGAGATCTCCCAAGGTTCAAGTTTGCAAAGATCTTGCGGACCATCCGTGCCTTGGGCTCGATGAAAGACCGATTGGTCCGATGTCCGTTCGTTGCCAGGGATTCAAACCCGGCCCAGCTGGGGGTTGGTAGAGGCAAGCCTCTGAAGAACTATTCGCTATTCTATTCTTCATTGTGTGAACAAGGACGCTGCTATATAGGGGGTCCTGGCATCTTTGCTAGTAACAAGAAGCTACTAGGGGCTCCTGGCCTTACTGCTAGGAGCAGGACGCTACTAGGGGCTCCTGGCATCGCTACTGGTAACAAGAAGCTACTAGGGGCTCCTGGCCCTACTACTAGGAGCAAGGACGCTACTAGGGGCTCCACAGCCACATACAGCCACCAGATCCAATGACATCAAGCCTTAAGCTTAGTTATGCCAGTTTGTTGAAAGACTCGGTGCATCGGCTGTGCATCAAGCAAGTTCCAAGGAAGTACAGTAACGTTTCAGTTCAACATGCCACTCAAACAACCAGGGCAACGCCCTAACCCATGCAGAGTTGACCGACATCCCTTCATTCGTTCAGGGATCATTTCCTTCGTACGGGAGCTGCTTGGCTCTTCCGAACGCGAAAAGCGCGCCGATCTTCGAGAGGATCATGGTACCGTCATGATATCACATCAAACATCATCAAACGTTTCAGAGGTTTTGCGGTCAATTGCGGAGGTTTTGCATTTGTGTCGAAGACTCGTCTTTGTCTGGGGGTGTGGAGGATTCCGAATCGCAGAGGGTTTTTAAGTGTGGGATCCAACAATCGGAGTTGGGAGATCGGTCAGAAACACATTCAGCACATTCCAAATCCACGGATTAATTTGTGTTTGTTGCGATCCAATGTCCAAAACCGGCCAGTTGGAAATCCACCGATGTCATGTGCCACCACACCACGTTTAACGTGCTCGACTCGTCGGTTCGAGCTGGGTCGAGCCACCGGGTCGTTCCACGTTCCGATACGGCCGATCCGCCCGTTGTCTTCGGGACTTGGGTCACTTGGTCACTTGGGCCATTGATGGACCCGGTGTTTCAGCTAGGTTTGATGCTTGGGTATATCAATCAATTAGTTCTAGAACTTATTTGACGTGTGCACTGCAGTGCGTTGACCGTCACGCACTGCAGAAGGGCGAAGCAAACCCCCCGCCCGCGCTGCGAAAACTGGGGCCTTTGAGGATGCCCATGCCATACACAGTCTCGGATTCTGTGCCAAGGTTGTCAATGATGCTGGAAAGTCACTTGGCTTGACAGGTGTGATCACGGTTTGGCGCAGGGGCTGCAAGTGCAGGATTTTCAGACGTGACAACTATGGTGGTAACATGTGGTAACTTGCTCCAATGTGGGGCTGGATTTGCAGTTTCTCGCTCCTCACCAAAAGAACACATGAGTGACCAGCAGAATGCTGCACATCATATTTAGATTATTTAGATGAAATCCGCGGTAGCGATTTTGAGTTGGAAAAAGGATACACCATCCCAAAAATGATATATACCCCTCTTTGAATTTAGACATGCCTTGAATCGAATTGGTTGATTCTTTGGAGCCACTCCTGCCATTTTTGTGCACCACACGGTCTCCCGCATCACACCTGCACGTGGTTCGCCAATCACTGCATCACTCCCGCAACATCTCGGTTATGAAAATATCCAAACCGGTTGGAAAAACGATACCTCGATCTACTACATACGTTTTGTTTGCCGGCCGCCCACATGCGAAGCATGCTTGATGGACACATTCCTTTATCAGGTTGCTTTCCTGGTCGTTGGGTGACTTAGTTTTGTCCACTAATCATTTTGGCGAAGGAGCGTGGGTGGCCGATTGCCTGATGTCTTTCAGTGACGCCACCATTTGTGATTTGTGTGATCGTCAGATTTGGATCCGATTCGCATGTTTAGGGGGAAGCCCGAGCAAGGAATGCTGGATGATGTTTGGGAATTGTGGTCGTAGATTTGCGTTGAGGAGTTTCCTCGAAGTCTCTCACCTATACCATCGGATCACAAGTGTATGATATATAACTGCAGGCTACCCACCTGCGATCATGAAGTCTTTTTGCCAATGACGGCTCCAAAGGCTTTCGGAAGTGCATCGTGGCCATGTTTTGGGGCTTGGTCCTCCTGATGTTTTTGCTCTACGTCTTCGTCGGGCACTCAGATCAGGGGAGCCCTATGGCCTGGGGATTTCTCTGTCGGTTGGGCCGTGATGTCGAGTTCTGACCCATAATTGCTCTACACGACGTGCCCGCAACGATGACAACTGTGGTAGTTCATGGGTGATAGATGAAACAAGTGTGGGTGCTGGTTAACACAACACGTGTTTTCCCCCTGAGACTTGAATGCCTCTGATGACAATGGGTTTTCTTGTTTTCCAGCTGCTTGCCCAGGTTGATGGCAAGATCACGCGCATAGCATAGCAAGGTATGATATGGTATGATTGTGGGTTACGGTAACAGGGAAAACCAGTCACCTTGGAGATGTCCAATGGTTAATCTTCAAGTATGGTGTCCCAACAATCCCCAATGGTAGGCACATAGTACCGCGAGGCGGTTTCTGGAGTTGGTGCCCTAGGAAGACCGTTTGTGTTCCAAACAATCCAGGATGATCAATCAATTTGGATCCTCTCTTTCTCCCTCGTAACAAGGGACACTACTAGGGGCTCCTGGCATCGCTACTAGGAACATGAAGCTACTGCGGGCTCCTAGCCATACTACTAGTCACAAGGACGCTACTAAGAGCAAAGGGCATCGCTACTAGGAGCAAGGACGCTACTAGGGGCGCTCCTGGCCGTACTACTAGGAACAAGCGCCGCTCCGGGTGGGACCCGCACGATCTCCACACGAGGCGTTGATCTTCGCGCAGGGCGTCGCAAGCCATCTGGCCACCCACAGCGCTGCTGGAACGGAGGACTGCCGGGAGCGTTTTGGAGCAGTTGCACCAGGGTCACCGGGTCTTGGAATCTGGAGACCCGTTCTCCAACCATTGGAGTCCGATTGAAGACACTCCGAACTTGGGTGGTGTAAAACCCTGGTATCCAAAAAGGTCTTGTTTTGGTGATTCAAAAGAGATAAAACCTGAAAAAAAAGACTGCTCGACACCATGTCTGATTCCTCCTTAGAGGAATCCAGAGGGACCAGGATGACAAGAGTCTCATGGTAGCGTTTGGCGTCGTGGGGCAACCGCGCAGCTGTTTTTGGACAACCGCGCCGGCTCCCGGGAGGATTCAGTCCCGATGGGATGGGCTGATGGGCGAGTCGAACGCTGGAGAGGTTTTTCACGGCACGATGAAGGGGCCGGTCGTGCCGGTCCTCCATGTCACACGTGCCGCACGGGGTGCGTGCTTGCATTTGGTTCGGTGGGCGTCCCGGGCTGACAGACGTCCCAGCGGCGTCCCAGCATGCTGTCAGGAGGAACTCGGCCCAATGGAGCAGGAGATGATGACAGATTCCTTTGGCTCGGTGGGTGCGTCCATGCTCCTCGAACGACTGCGACCCACTTGCCGGAAGGGACCAGGCTGTAGCAGCTGTAGCATTTTTGCCTTCAAAATCTAAAGCAATTCAAAACCGGGCTTAAGTATGAGCTTCCACTCCATTTGGTGCCCGCTGAGGCTCTCCTTGTACCTTTCCGTGACGGGCGGCAACGATTGGTCCATGTACTACGCAGTGATGGTACAGATCGGGTCCTTCTATCCAGCCGTTTTCTTGAGCTACACATTTTTCTTCATTTTTGCACCCTGGCTCCAGATCGAGACAAAACTTGACGCCTTCCGTGCAACCCAATAGGTGTAGCTGGACCTTCACATGCAGTTATCTACTGCCAGATTCTGTCTGGGCTGTATTCCGGCTAAGATGGGTGTCAAAGGAGTTGCAACTGTGCCTGGGGCCCCAAGGTCTCTCCAATTCCCTTGTTCCGCCTTGTTCCTAGAAGATTCCGGAGTGATGTCAATGTGGGATGTCAATGTAGCGATCACCACCCACAAGGCCCCAAAATAAGACCATACGTTACATTATATGCATTAATAATATATACATTAATTGTTAATAATCTAATCTAGTTTTCAATCCTGGCTGACTCAGGCTCTTTGAAGGGTCCAGATGGCTGCTGTTGGATTTTTTGGGCCTCCAGGGGATTTGGAACCCTCGAAAGGACTTCTGGATCTTGGGGACCCAGACTGGGAATCAGCCGGTTACACCGTCGAACTGAAGTGAGATTGGTATTTTTGTGCAGCCCTAGGCCCTAGGAATCCAGTCGTACATTCTCAGAAGGTGAGCAGGGCGACACTGCTATGTAGGAATGTAGGTGCCAGGAAGATCGAATGCTTTGGGAATGGGAGGATGGACTGAGGCGTTTTCGACGGTGGACGCCGGGACGAGTGGGAAGGTCGATGTGATAGAGTATAATCGAGTCTTTCTTTGATATGGGATACTGGAAGAACCTACCAAACGAGCAGTTGCTGGAACAAACCTTCATCACGAGGCCCAAAAGAGCTCGCTTGGATGCTGATTCCCAGGACCTCCCCCCCCACTCCACCAAGCCGAACAAGTCGCCGCACAAGTCTTCTCCGGCGTCGCTTCACCATGAGGCCCTCTTCAACATCCTCACCGGTGTGTTCGTCGAAAGGGCCGTGGCTGCGTCCCTGCCGGACCGAGAGGAGCTCATCTCGGAGGCGAGAGCTCTACAAAAAGCGCTCGAGAACGAGGGCGTCATATGTGGTCCATATCTAGTCGGACTCCGGAAAGGAGAGTGATACAGTAGTTACTCAGTAGTTCAGGATTTCTAAGGATTTCTAAGGGTCTAGAGTGGACATGAATGGAAGCATGACGAAGCATGTGTCTTGGTTTGATGTCTTTGTTATTTTCGTGTGCACTCATTTGTCTGGAAAGCGGAAAAGGGACCACAGTCAGCGGTGTAACAGGATGGTTTGGCGTTTGGTTCCTGGTGACGGGGCTAGTTGGGTGTCAAAGAGGGTTGGAATTGTTGGATAATATACGGATGATAATATAATAATATGTAGATAGTAGATACCGAGTTTTTGTTGGGTCCTTGTTGTGTCACCGGTTTTTCTTTGCCGCTTCTTTATCGGGATGTTCTTCGGTCGAAACCCTTTAGCCGACCAGGAAAGGAAGAAGCTTCTGAAGCAGGTCGAAGAATTGAGGGCTCTGTTCAAAGATCTTGATACCGACGCTTGGCCCCCCAACTTGGACTCGACGGAGCTTCATGTCGAGTTCGGACCAAAAGACTGGTAATCTTTTGCTGGAACCATGTCTTTCCCCGAAAGACCATTTGGCCTTGGCTAGCGCTGATTCCATGCTTATGAGATGCACCGGGCCCCGTGGTTGTGCTGCCCGGAGATCTGCAAAAAGGCACGTTGTTCAATAATTCACTGTATAGGTATAGTACCATCCACGATGCGACCCAGCAATGCTCGAAAAACAAGTGGTGGCATAACGACCGGTGACCACACACGGCCATATTCCTGTGAATTGGTCTACCGGTTAGGTTGTCACCAAGGAGGCTTGTGAAATCTTCGACCGGTCTTAGAGCAGTTTCCTGGTGACAGCCGGGAGATGCTTAAAGCTACAACAGGGGCCCAGGGGAAGGTGTTGAGAACATCACTCCATGCTTTCTGGTGATCGCACTATGACTATGCCGTATCTCATGTCGGAAGACATTGAGCATGTTGGTGCTATGTCCGTTGGCGAGGTGTTTCCCGCACAGAAGCCAAACAGTTCCCAAGGGCAGCAGAATGCTTTCAGCAGCACAACTCAAGATGGCGAAGGAAAGCCCAAGTCTTTCAAGATGCATGAGCCATGGCCTTGAGAATTCCGGCATCCCTTGCAAGTGGTCAAATCATTGTTCTTGAAGGCGTCACGCCGGAGATGGCAGGCCAGGCGCTGAAGCAGCAGATCAAAGAAGGACAGAAGGTTGACGAGCGTACTCGCAGGACAACCTTTGTGGAGGTACTTGTCGGAGACGGTCAACTGCTGGCCAATCATCTCAGTCTTTTGAACGCTGGAATTTCTGCAGATACTCTTGTGAGTGTGGTCTTCCAGCTGATCACGGTGATATGCTCCAACTAAGACGCAATCGCCAGCCTTGGTGGCGTCACAGACTCGGAACTATGGCTGGCGGTCGACATGCCACGCAATGAAACTTCAGGTTGCTTCGCCTTGGCAAAGCTGACGATGATTTGGCCTTCCGGAATTGCAGCTCTTTGGTGAGCTTGACCCTTATAGACTCTGTGACCCATATTGTGACCAGAGTCAGAGCCTTTTCGAATTTCAGTTCTTAGCTTAGACCAACTTGACGCACATTGGCCTTTGTGCCTTCAAGTGTTGCCCATTGACGAAGCGTAGAAAATTCAGCTGAAGTTGTAGGGCATGGGTAGTGGGCATGTGTATACCGTGTATATATATAATATATATGATTACAATCTTGTTTACATAATATTTTTGATATATTGTATTCAATTAACATACGCAAGTTCTCGGATGCATGCATGAAGTTCAACGTGAACTGAGATTGCAGTATAAAGGCTGTCCGCCAGAAACTTTTGAAAATGGATCTTGAGGATCCTTACTGGGAGGCTGAGGTTGTACGCCTTTACACTCCAAGGGCACAGGCTGCGGCTTCAAAGTGAGCAGCAACGAAGGGAACTTTTACTTTTTTTACTGAATGCATAATATAATATAATATATAGTTTTCCCATGGATATATAAATATATAATTTGTATATTATCAGCGCTTATGTGTTTTTTTTCGCCGTGGGTGTTTCTGCATGCGCCAGCATAAGGTTGGCATGGCATTTCAAGTCATTCATTTGCAAGAACCTGCCAGTGGCTTATCATTTACGGTCTGTGGTCTTCAAGCAATTAGACGATATAGTCAATGGATGTAGAACAACTGTGCACACACAAAAGTAATGTAGGATAGTTTGACCTGCACCATGTTACTACAAGTAGCTATGCTCCAGGATGATTTGGGCTCCGGTGTTTTTTCTTTCCCCGCGTTCTGAACTGGGGCTCGACTCGGCTCAGATGACCAAGGATGACCGCTCGGACCAGAGCGGCAGGTGGTGCACCAAATTGCCTGTTGTTTGACCAGGGCATTTGGTGTCACATGATGTATGCATGTTGTTTATATTTAAGGGGACTGTTTGGAACTGCGTTGCACCACGACTCACGAAACGATGGCTTCCTTTGACCACAGGGTCGCTCAGGTTTCAAATTCCATGACTCCAGATTACCTGGTTTATTTGTGATCGCTGGTCTAAGGACGCCTCGGGCAAGATCACCAAATCGGAGTTCATCAACGATATGAAAGATGCACCTGGGACCGCAAAGGTAAGGATCAGCTGATCGCATGCATTCCTTCGACCATTTCGGCCTCGATTGCACTCGGCCTCCAAACGGACTCATCTTTGAGTTTTTTTGAGCAATTCAACCCCCACCAGGAACTAGCGAATCAAAGCCTGATATTTGGCTGCTGGCCTTCTGGCGCATGAGCTGTGAGGAATGCTTTGTGGCCTGCTAGCGCACTGACCACGTTCGCAAGACCCACAGGTATGAGTGCTCGCACGTTCGGAATTGCTGATCTAGTCTACAGCGGGCGGGAAGATGTCCCTTAAACAGGCAACGAATGTGAACACGTCTTGGCCCTACCTCGCATGCACAGAGCAAGCACCTAACACGTCAGGTGCATGGTCCACTACTGAGATGAGTGGAGCGTGTACTACTGTACCACTACACCAAAGTCCAAAGGATGTCAAAAGGAATGAATAGTTTCCTGCTTAGTCACTGTCCTGCTTGACAGCTTATGACGAAGCTTATGACAGCGGCGCTCCGTGAGGCCTGGATCCACGACTCGGATCCAAGATGCGCATCCATCCGGTAACTATAGGTGGAACCATGTGGAACCCTCAAACTCTCGGATTGCTTTTTTGGAAAAAAACCATATCGAGTGAGGATAGTGAGGTTTAAACTTGGGAAAAAACATCGAGAGCTAAATCACATGGAGCATTCTCCAGTCCAATAGCCATGCTGAGCCATCAACACTGAACAGACTAACAGTGACTTCTTTTTCCGCATTTCCGCTGTAGTGCTTCGACAGAAGCTGTGGCTATTCCCAGCATAAGCGTGAAAGAACCACTAAAGAAAGCGAGACAACGAAAAGGCACAGCACCGGGGGCTTCCGAGCCCCAAGCAAGAGCCAAGAGGCCATCACGAAGTACTGCCTCGGAAAGAACGTGGGTCTTTCCCATTTTCAAAAATGCGAAGCATCACAGGTCACCCGTCGAAGACGAGAGAACCAAGATGCGGACAAAACCAGGCATTTCATTTGCTTTGCGCTCTTTGAAAGAGGAAAGCATTCACAAAACAGACAACTCCTCACAATCGAGCCTTGCGTGGGAAAAGCAGAGGGCTCCAAGGACATAAAGCACAATGAACACATAATTAAGCCAGGCTTGCAGCAAACAAATTTGCACTTGGATGCACAGACGTATCCGTGTGAGAACACAGGGAGCGTTCCATCAACAAGAAATGATATACATGACAACAGGGCGATGTAACGAAGTTCCGGGGCGAAAAAGATAAATCCAAAGTGTGCCTGTGAGATGGCGCCCGAAAGAGTCCCTTTCAGACCTCGAAAGGTCTGAAGAAACCAACCGATGCCTATCTCGCAACAGACTAACAGATCTAACAGTGACTAACCGACTGAATCTTGGTGATTCCGAACTGATGCTAACTAGGAACCCAGAGCCTTCAGATGTTCCCTTTCCCCCCGCTGTCGGTGACTCAGACCTCGCACGACGCACGACGCACTCGATGCATGGATCGCCGTGTGACACGGTCGGATCGTCCAACGGCCACCGAGGATCGGATTGTCTCGTACATGCACAGTCTGGGCCTGGAGATGCATGATGCGGAGCACTTCTTCGACATCATTGCTGACCACTGTCAGGACTGGGACATCATCATGAGACCATAAGAGAGCCATTTATTTATACAAAGCACACCGCCGGTTGAAACCGCATGCCTCAGCCGGTTTCAAGCCCCCCAAACATCGCGTCGTTCCGAACTCATCTCCCGGAGGAAGTCGACATTGACACCTTCATCGAGCACAGCATGGCCATGAAGGGCAGCGCCACGGCCCTGGACATGCGACGCCAGTTGCATCAGACGGCACAGGTGGCTGAACAGCTGCAGGTCGGAGAGAGTCGAAGGGAACAGATGCTGCCGAGTCGGAGGGAACAGATGTTGCCACAGAGTTGAGAGGGCTATATAAGTGGAGGTGATAGACGGAGATTAACATTGATATATGATATAATAACTGATATAATATGATAGACAATATAATATGGATTGGTGATATAGCTTCAAATCTTAGATCAATCAGGTCAAGATTGAAAAGATGAATCATCATCTGTCGGATAGACCCCAGAAAGGGTTCAACCCTGAAGGACTGTTGGGAGCACATCGAACACCAAACGAGTTCATTTCGGCTTCGAATGATGATGATTTGACATATGGGACATGCTTGAATTCTTTTGGGGCAACATACTTGTTTTGTGCGTGCTTTGCGTTCCAGGAGCATTCTGCTAATTACTCCGCTCCTGGCCCTCTCAAACTGTTTGCTCAATGATCTCAATGGCCATGCGCCCAGATCTTTCTTTCTGCAAGAGTTAAGCTTCATAAGTGCCCAAGCTGGGGTCATATGAGTCATATGTATGGCTTCATGTGTTGATTTGGATACCATGGTTCAAAGCGCACTGTGCTGTAAGCAGTAGGGATATGTAGGATATGGTTTTCACAAGAGGTAGGTGCGTAAGTATGGCTGCATTGCTCTCGGAACTCGGGTGAACCATGCTGCATGGGCCTTTAGTAGGATCATGCCCCTTGAAGGACGCTCATCACAGGACACATATTGCACGAGGACTCCCATCTAAAGACCCCAGTGGTTCAGACTCCAATCCCAGCATGGCACCGATCAGCTTGAAGGTAACAAAGCCAAATGAAGCTCACGTGAAGACATTGGTTTCGCAAACCCCTCCCAATGATGATTTCAAAGCTCGGGCTCCAGCTCCCTGATAACCTTAACGGCCGAGCCAAGAGCCAAGCTCGTGCTGCTGGCCCCAGGACGTTTCAAAGGACCTTGCAGGATCTTGCGGGGAGGTTTGAAGAACAAGGAACAAGATGTGGAACAGCATAATTGACTTCGTGAATGACCCGACCTTAGAGCGACTAGGAATTGATTTGAAGGTTCGGGAAAAAGAGGTGAGACTGGAATGACTGGAACCCCCAAAAGTCCAAGGGCAGGTTTGTTGCGAGCTGGGGCTGTGTTGCAGGTCTGGGACAATGAGCGGTGGCCACAGCTCCAACGGGCTTTGCGGCGCCTGGTTGCTGGGTTGAACTTCAAATGACCGAGCGTGAGGAAATCGCCAGATGGGTGATGGTGTGAAGATAGTCGTCTTGGGGTTTTGGGGTGAAAGTACTTTTTCTGAATCGAGCTGCTGCAAATGAGCACATCCGGTTCGGATGGTGTTTGGGCTGTTTGGTGGAACATGATATTGGTTCAGGGGTTCGTGATGGTGTGCTGGCATCATTGAGGGTGAGTCAAGATTAAGGTGATTCCTGAACGTTAAGTCAGTCAAGTCAAGTTTTCGACGGACGGTTTCTTAGACCTGGACAGCCCAGAGAACTTGGGAGCAAAGGAAGCAAAGATTAAGACTGGAAAGGCGCAAAAGACATCAAAAGACATCTCACACGCTACTTCGCAGTGTTCCGATATCGATCTAGACACCCTGCTTCTATATCTGCTCAAGATTTGGACAGTCCAGGTGTCAAACAGGCACAGCTGAATCACAAATCACAAGGGATTTTGTGCCAGAAGTGGCGATGTTGATGGGGATACGTGTCAAGTAGAGTACATGTTCACTTCAATTAGACATGTGCTTCATATCTTTTTGGGATTACGGTCTCGGTCTGCTCGCGCTGACTGCAGGCCTTGCGGAGCGGTGAAGACTTGGAGAAGAGCGAAAGTGCCCAACGGCGTGCGCCCGCTCAGGTCGGTCCAAAGCACCCCAAAGCATCGGTTTCAAGCCCAACGTAGCTTTCGGACATGCAAGGTTTCGGATGATGATTCCTCCTTATGTCGGTGTGCATTTCCCTTCAAGAACCAGGTGCTCAGACACAATCGTGTGTCAGCGTGCGCGGCCTTCAAAGACTTGAGTGAAGTATGTTTGGCGATGTTTGGCGGATTATCTTCTGGGTCGTCTACCGTCTACCCAGACAAGCTCAGATCAGATCCCAAGGTGCCTGTGATACTCAAGAGGGGAATGCTTAAGAAATAGATGAGTGAGGTCGGTCACAGTTTCTTCGGCCTGCTCGAAACTATCTAGAGTCTAGAGTCTATACAACAAATGCTCAACTGTTTGGCCATTGTTTGGCTTTGGAAACCGCTCTTAGGAATACAACTTTGGCTTGGGGCTGGACAGCACAACAATTCCAGAAGCCTGTCGACTGCGACAGGTATACCAGGAAGAGGCCTATCCAAATCCTTGGTGGTGGGAAACCTCCCTTCCATCAGATCACAAAGGCCGGATCTGGTTGACTGGCAGAGCAGGATGCGGTCACCAATTGCAGGAGCTGCCCGACACTAGCTGTTGAAGGTCAGACATGAAGGTTTGTAATTTGGGCCCTTGTTACGTTTGGTTGTTTTCAGGGCAACCTGAATCCCTGAAATCCTGGACATGCATGATGGACATGCGAATGACCAAGCCTTGCCTTCCAATCGCTTCGATCTGACATGCTTGCATTCGAGACCGAATGGCGACGGCTGTTTGTTCGCAGGATCCAAGACGGATGCTGCCTGTCCTTGATTTGTTCGACTAAGCAAGACCCTCCTGAGGACGCACTTCCCCCTGAAAATAAATAAGTGCATTCTCAGGTATTCAAGCTCGAAACATATAAAATAAACTTCCATCACGTACGAAAGTAATCTTCGCGTGTCCCTGTCCATTTGGCCAGAAGCATGCTCAATCCGCTGCAAAACAAAAAGGAACAAAACTTGACATGACACTATCAAAGCATTGCTTCATTCGACAGTCGGCGTTCCGTCTACTCTTCTTGCCTTCGCTCCGTGATGCTTTGTTTGGCAGGCCGTAGCGAGTTCTGAGCAGAGGGCCGTCGCGGACGGTGGAAAAGGACCTATTCCTTTTTTTCTCGGCGGTCTGCAAAAAGTGTGTCACCAAGGAGTGGGTGAAGATTTCTCTCAAGCTGGGACCTGTGGCAAGGAGTGGAAAGTACTAGAGACCCACATGATATGGAACTTGCAAATCACCACTTTGTGGAGGAAAATGGTCTTCCAAAGTTTCCAAAAGTCTGTTTTCAGGTTCCATGTGAATCTTTCCGGGTGTCGTTTCATGATGTTTCCTGCAATTGGTTTTGATTGGAGATGACTACAGGTGAAGTGCCAGGTGCAAGGATATGCAGGGCATATGGATGTTGTTGTATTTTTTGTTGGGGGGGGTTGGCTACGGACACATCACATGATCCGGCAGGAGTCCCAGCCGTACAGGGATCCCAGCTCCACGCAACTCGCTCCGAGTCAGCGCAAGAGCTAGACCTCTCCTCTAAAGGAGGAATGTGTTTGGCTGCGTTCTTTCCAGGGTTGGCTACAAGAGGCCAAACAGATTGGCGTTCACAGCAGGATCCAAGTCCCAGTCGTGTTGCTTTACTAGTCAAAAAGTCTTTTCAACCTCCAAATGGCAATGCCCTGTTTCTTTTCATGGCTGCCAAATGTGGCAGTTTAGCGCGGTTTGTTCGGCCGCATGGAAACCGGGACTCCGTGAGAAAAGGCGTGCCCACACCAGTTCCACCCAATGTAGAGAACTAGAACCCGTGGAGGTTGCCCAGAATCTGGAATGCCCCATGCAAGACTCAACCACTGTTTGCGAAAAGGATGTACTTCGAAGGCATTCCCAGCTTCTGTGATCTAGACACCGTCGTCCATCCATTGCTCGACACGGGTGCCTGGGGAACAATGAATGGACCCTTTGAGGGGTGAGTTAGTAGGTTGTTTTGGTTTACTTTCTGATGTTAGACTGTTTGAGTTTTGTTGGTGTGATTGTTCAATAAGACTTTTTGGTAACCTTATTGAAGAATTATGTTGATTGTAGGTTGTTTGGTTTTATGTTGGGTTGGTGTTTCTTCTGGTTTATGTTGTGTTGGTGGGTTGTTCTGATTTTATTGGATGTTTTGGTTGGTTTGGTGGTTGTTCTGGTTTATTTTGTGTTGATGGGTTGTTCTGATTTATGTTGTATTGGTTGGACGTTGCTTGACTGGTTGGGTTTTTGGTTGTGTTATGATGGGCTGGAAGATGGGCAAGGCCTACCCTAACTGTTATTGCTTGGTTTTTGCATGTTTTAGCATTTTATAGTGATAGCGTTTTGTTCCTACCCTTCTATATCACAGGTTCCTTTGTAGAAAGGATACTTGAATCTTGAAGCTCAAGCGGGTATTCATGGGGTACTGTATTGTCTTTGATCCGTGATCCAGATGAAGGCCAGACTGTTCGTCCCACTTTGGAGGGCTAGCGGCTAGGATGTACTTCGAGTGTGCAGCACAGAGCTGTTTTCTTTTTGAAGATGCTTTGGGGGCTGCCGCTTTGTCTCCTAATGTCCCTCAACAAGAAGGCGGTTGAGTAGGCGGCTGGCTCAAACTGACGGCATGAACACAAGTGTGATAATCTGAAGGCAACTGACAATGCAAGGAATTCCCCTGCTTGTGTGTGGAGCCAATAAGGTTGGTTTCTTAAGCTTGGTAGCACCGATTGGGGCTTAAATCCCGGTCACAATCATAAGAGCTGGTAAATGGCATAATGGCGCCATTGAGTATAAGTGGTTGACAAATGTTGACAATGGATTGCACACCCCCTGCAGTTCTCTTGACTTCACCTGGGTCAAACATATTTCCAAACATGATGAACGG